TACACAAGGACTGACAGTACCCCCCCCCCCGCGCGGCGACACGGGAGGGGGTGGGGAGGGTTATTGGTGTAGGACGGGTCACGCGTTGTTTAAAGGGGCCCAAGGTTGAGAAATACTGCATTGATGTGTTCAAATCTAAGATAGCTCTCCCATTTGATAAATAGCTTATTTAGGCAGAGAGGAATGAATGAATGAATGAATGAATGAATGAATGAATGAATGAATGAATGAATGAATGAATTTTAAAAACCTAGTCTTCAGGAGAGTAATGCTGGATGGGTGATGTAACTACAGATGTATACATGTCTTGATCCCAATCTTTGACTCAAATTGGATTTTCTGCTCTCTCCTGCAGACCCATGATGATCCCTAGCATGTGCCTACCTCTCTACTGCTAAAGGAGAGCAGTTTCACTCGGATGGATCAGGAAAACACAAGGGGAAGAAGTGGAGACCTCCAGTGACAGGAGAAAATCCATCAACGGTCTACCCAGGGTTCAGAAAACCGGCCAAGTGAAAAAAGTTGGCAAGGTAAATGCATCCTTTCGTGCGTCTCAAAATGCAGAGTTGGCTCTAGGTTTGGTAACCATGTGTCTTTCCCAGAATCTCTCCTGAGAAGAGTTGAGTGTAAAAGGAGCTCTTCCGCCACAGGTGGGATCTGTAAAATGCAAAACATTAGAAATGCCCAAGAATAAGAGTTGGCTTTTGTGGCACCGGTTGGTGACCCAAGGCTACGCCTGGCTCCTGTTGCTTGCTCTCTAGGGGGGAAGGAAACCAATCCCAGGAGAGCTCCTAGCAGTGATTATTAATCAAGAGAAGAGGGGCACTGAAACAAACACAGCTGAACAGGGTGTTCTGCCCTGCTGAGTGTGCCAGTCAGGTATTGGAGACCAGACAGGAAACATGCCCAGATGTGATGGATGGCATGAGCAGGAAAGATTCTGGAATGGAGCTTCAAGGTTGTCAGGAGGGGGGAGAGACATTCCAGGGCCTCCTCAGCCCACAACAAGACTGGAAAAACAGAGGATGAGGCTGGCTCCCCCGTAGAGCCACAAGGAGTATATTCCATAGTAGCTGTAGATAAGTTTAGTCTGGCGAGATTCTGTCTATTAGCTAATAAAGTATCTGAACTGTAGTGGATGACCTCGTTGTAGTTCTTGGGCTGAACCTGACACCAGATGAGCTAATTTTACATTATTGTAAAGCCACATTGACAGAATCTTGCAAGTCTGAAAATACAATTCTCCCCTCATCACCTTTACAGCCTGAGAGACTAGGGAGGGTCTCTTCTGATCCTCTTGCCCCACCACTGTGCAGCTACAGGCTATGCCCATTCTTATCTGACTGTTCCCTTGGCAGCATCTCTTCGCCCCGTCTCCCAAGGTCTTTCCCACATACCGTTACAGGTATTCTCTTGTTCCATGATACCCTGTTCTGGTGCCACCCAGTTTTCTGTAGCTGTCCCCTTTTCTGTCAGTCAACCAACCTATTCCAACTTCACTGTTGTTGTTTTTTGCCTCTTCCCTCTACGTTTTCCTGCATTTAGTCAAGGGCTTCCCTGGCTGCCCTCTTTAGGTGTTGGGAGTGCTAATTCCACAGCTTCCAGCACATTGGAATGATGCCAGCTTGTAGAAGGTGAGATAATAGCCTTGCTTTCTGGAATTGGCCTGCCTGCGTTGAGTCTGAACATTTTTATCTGACACTTCTAAAAACTGTAAGGGGCTAAGCTGCATTTTTTTTTATTGTGTTGAAAAATCTGTTCTGTGCTACGTTTTAATTAAAGTCTTTCTCTACTAATCTCTGCACATCTGGGGGGGAGGGGGGAATTCTTTGAAATTTGGTGTGAGCTGGGGTGGAGGAGAGAAAGAGGGAGACTGAACACTTTGGTAGCTCAGATTTTGTTTTAAAAGATTGCCATCGATCACCATAGGCAAAGGCTGCCGTCTTTAAAAAATGTATACCATTTTATTTTGCCTGTGTTCTTCCTGGAGGCTTCCAGGATCACTGTCTACCTAATTCAGTATTAACATTTTTAATGAGGCAAGTGGTTTGCAGCCAAAAAGCCACACAGAGGGCTTTATAACATGCAAATCCTTTTTGAGTGTGAGTCCTGATCTATATTTTTTTCCCCTATTTTCAATCATTCCAGCCCTATTTCTTCCATAGTGTGTGTCAGTCTTGTTTCTTTAAAGATTTCCAATATAGCCTGCAAAAATTTAGCATGGGAATCAGCCTCTCCCTTGGTCTATTCGGTAGATGCCTATAAAAGTATATGTGCAGTGGGCAAAGGGACGTGCCTGGATGTCTGTGGGATAGGGGTAAGCCCAGCACCGTCCCCTATGTCAGGTCTAGGAAGTTAATTAAATAAATACTCTCTCGCCTGTTGGATTCAGGTCTTCTAACCCGGCCAGGGATTTTAGACAAGAGAGGCTGGAAAAATTCTTCTGGATGAAATTGTTGTACTTAACTAGTGACCAAAAGGTATGAGTGTCCTGGTCTGCACCCTCCTTATTTCCACACTAACTTATGTCACTTAAAGAGGTGGACGAGGGGGATTCCCAAGAACTAATGCAGTGTTGTCCAAACTTGGCCAATTTAAGCATGGCTGGCTGGGGAATTCTGGGAGTTGAAGTCCACTCATCTTAAAGTGGCCAAGTTTGGACAACACTGAACTAATGGAACTCTAGGTCACTTTCTGATCATGATGTGGTTTGTAGCCTCCTACTTGAGTAGACCACTTCAGGCTGCTGATGGACCCAGAAGCCACTTGGGATTTTCCTGAGAATTTGGCAACACCTCTGTCTCAGCTTGGCTGATCTCTGGGATATGGAGGTGGCCAAACTGCTAGACGAGGTTGCTCCTGCACAACCTCCCTCCTGTCTTGATCCAAGGAAGTGCCTTGGTTTTCCAAGGAGAGAGAATGGAATAAAACCCCCCAAAAATGCAACTGAGCACTGAGACAAGCCAATCATTACCTATAAAGCTGTGTGCAGCATGGCACATGGATAGATTGGGGAACACCTTACCAAATGTAATTCTGCCTATCCAGTCAGTCATCCAGAGAAAGCTTGCTGAGAACCAGCCCCCAGCCCTCCACAAAATCCATAGGACAGGCACAAGAAGACAGGCCTTTTGAGCAATAGTTCCCACAGACTAACAGCAGAAATAGGGCTGGACCCATCTCTCTTTCATTTAAGTCTCTCTTATTTCAATGGGCCTTTAGTCCATTGAATGGGCTGTTGGACAACCATTGCTGATTATGTTAAAAATTATTCATTCCCCGTATTATTTCTCTTTCTGTCGTGCTTATTCTGCAATCCCCAGAGCCCTTGTGATTGGGGTGGTATACAAAACCATACCATGAATAAGTTAGTCACTCCTGCAAGAACCTTTCCTATGAAGCTTTTCTAAGAGTGATGCTATTGGGGTTGCTAAGGGGGAATCCTGTCTTTGAGAGTTTTTTCATTCTCTTGGAGAAATTGGGAGAAACTATCCACCTGAAATTTCTGGGCAAAAACTTGGGGAAGAATTTGGGTGGGCTGTCTGTGTTTAGCTGCGGCTGAAACAGAATTATGGACAATGTTTGTTGGTCTTAACGCTGGGTCTGGGCCACCACTGGAGGTCTACTGCATGTATTGAAATGATCCCCAACTCCGAAATTGAAACCATAATTCTTACAGTGAAGTAAAACCATGCCAATTGAGAAAGAGACACAGGGTTGTGTTCTCCCAGCCACCTAATTCATGGGACAGAAACCTATTCATCCCCGTTTCATTCCATTTGGGCCACAAACATTTGCCCACTATACAAATACTTAATCTGCTGAACAGATGTGAGGGGACAGAAAAGGGCCTTGTAGTGTTGTGTGTGTATTGTGGTTTTGTTTCCACTCTGTCCCCAGGATTAGACTGTTAACATTTGTGCCAGTTCTGGAGCGTAAGCTTACAGCATCTTAAGTAGCAAGTTGATGGAAAGTTTTTCCAGTGGAACTTAATCGTACTAGGGGGCAAAAAGGGGTTTGGAGGACTTAAGAATGTGAGAAGGGATCAGATGGCAAGAGTCTTTTAATAGAAGAGAAGGTGAGAGGACAACATTTAACCTGGGAGTTAGGATAAATACTTCTGTCTTTTGTCCTGTACCTTGCTGTTTTTACAACTTACTCTTTGCTATCCCTGGTTATTTGCTGAAACTATAAGCAACTTAGTGTCTGCAGGCTAATATATATTAAAGCTGCGCACACCTGAAAAACAGTTTGGAAGAAGTGCTCCAGACCTCACATAAGCACCTGGCTGCTATCTGTTGAAGCACACATGCCTTTTTTCCACGCTTTGGCACAAGCCTGAAGAAGATGCTATTGCTGTAATGAATCAAATCGTTCAAGGAACTATCTTTAGCATGACTCATAAAGCAGCTGCATCCTGCTTCAGGTCTGTGTGGGAGGGCTGCTTTAAAGAGTAGCAGAAAAGTGCTGTGATCCCAGGAGGTTTGAAGAACGGCTTACAAATTGTGTTTTGAATGTAGGCATAGTCGTCATATGCAATTTAATTTCTTCTCTTTCAAGACTGGGCTGAGGAAACCAACTCAGTGGATTCAGGAGCCTGGAGGATTCATGGGTTCAGACTGTACCTTTAAAGACAGTGGAAGTAGAGTCTTCCCTTTTCCTTTATTTGCTTTCAGGTTCAACCTCTAGCGCATGCTAGGTCACTCCCACCTTCCATTTTACAGCCTTGAGATTGAAATTTGGTAGCAAAACCACCCTTTTTTGACAGCTCAATTCATATGTATATTTTTTTCTTTTAAAGTTGGGGCAGATAACATTTGAGGTCAGCAGGCAGGATGATAACGCAGGAGATTTTGTTATTGTTCTTGTCTTCCTGGGTTTGGGGAAAGACATTCTGAGATCTTTTGTTGGCTATTTCAGTGCATTGTTATGGTTATTTTATGCCCAAATGGCACCACTAGTTTTCAACTACTGTGACCAAAGGAAGTTCCAAGGGCCAGTAAAACTCATTTGCTGGTTGCAGAGTATCCACAAGGCTTAAGTTATCTATTCTGAACTTATCCAAAATATGTGGGGGGGAAACCCCAAAGGGACCGTCTCCTCTAGGTAGCATTTGTCCATCTCATGTGAATCCAAGTTGGAGGGGTTTTTCTAGGTGCCTGCCTCTGGAGAAAAAGGGGAGAGTGGGACTCAGAGGATGACTTTTATTACAGTTGCCTCCTCCCTATGGAACAGCTTGCTTCTTCAATCAGATTGGCCCCCTTCTTAATTTCCTGCAGAAAAGCAGTGAAACCAGAGACATTTGGTAGGGAAGACTTGGTGGACAACAGCATTGGGATGATTTTGTTTTTATATTATATATTCCAGTCTTGTTATAAGTTGTGTTTTATTCATGTAGCCCACCTAAAGTCTAGAGCAGGGTTTGTCAAGCTTGGCAACTTTAAGATGTGTGGATTTCAACTCCCAGAATTCCCCAGCTAGCGTATGCTGGCTGGGGAATTCTGGGAGCTGAAGTCCACACATCTTAAAG